GTGCTAGAACTCACGGACGACAACTTCGAGAGTCGCGTCTCCGACACGGGCTCTGCGGGCCTCATGCTCGTGGAGTTCTTCGCCCCCTGATGAGGCCACTCTGCCGGGACGGGGGAAGAAGGGCCGGGCTGGGCCGGGGGCGAGGGCGCGGGGAACTGTTGGGCCTACGCAGCGCCCTTGCCCTTCATTCCTGTGGGCCCCTGCTGCGGCGGGCACATTTCTCATTACCGGGGGTTGGAGGCGCCTCACCGAGAGCTGCGGAATCGGTGCTGATCGGGAGAAGGAAAACCCGAAGGCTGCGCTCACGCAGGGCCTCATCCTCACCCTAGTGCTCTTGCGGCACTTCCTATTTGCAGAGGGTTTAGCCACCCCTTCCCCCAGTTCAGTGTGTAGCTATATCGTTTCTGCGTGAGTCAGTATTAACGTTCCTCCAGTCTACAGACTAGACATCCCAAAGCCTTGTAGTGGAAGCGGACGTTTCACCAAATGCACAAGTCCTGGATCCCTAGGGTATTTACTTTCCTCTTACCCCACACTGCACAGCCATTGGTTTCTAGCCAAGGTCACTGAGTGGCTGCAGAATGGTCATAACTACTTTCTTGAGTCAGGTAATTTGTCCGTCACATGGTGTACAGTTTCTCCCTTCAGCTGATCACTTACATCTCAGTCCCGGCAGACACCTCTGTCCAAAAGAAAAGAGTAGGTGAACAAGAATAATTCCATCAGAATCTGTTCATATTGTCCGTTTTAATTAGAATTTCTTTAAAATGTCAGGACTCCAATGAGCAAGTAACCAATATTGATTAAATACTCCACTTTAGGGTGACTTAAATGAACACGGGTGTAAATTCCTTAGATAGAACTAACTCGAAATAAAAATATGTTGAGGAGAAGGAAGAGCAAATAAGATTTCTGGCCCAGTCAGCTTGAGTGGTTTTCTTTGTTTTGTGTGTGTGTGTATTTTTTTTCTTTTTTAAACCTCCAGATCATTATCATAGTAAACAGTGATTCCTTTATCCTTGGGATAGCTCTATATATTCAATATATATAATTACACTACTTAATTTTTCCCCTCCTGGGGACCCTTGGTTTAAAACTATCCATGTTCAGAAATGTCAGTAAATGTTGTATGTAACTTTTATTTGCTTCAGACTCGGATCTTCACTTCTTAGCCTCATCCAACTTGCTGAGGGTTACACGGAAAAAGTCCTATAGTAAAGACCACCTGAATCAGAATGATGTGTTAGAGATGGCAAATTTTTGTGTTCAGCTTGGATAGATTTTGTGTCCAGGGCATTTCTGGGGCTAACTGGCAGTACAGATTACATATATAGATAATTCTTATACATCTCTGGAACTCATGTTCTCTCTTAGGAACAACTCTTCCCAATTATATAATCATGCTGTTAGCTTTGAGGGGGTGTCACTAAGTTTGTCAGGTCTGAGTGATGCTTTTTACTACAGGGGTCATGCAACAATATAAAGTAGGAATTAGGCCGGGCGCGGTGGCTCACGCCTGTAATCCCAGTACTTTGGAAGGCTGAGGCGGGCGAATCACGAGGTCAGGAGATCAAGACCATACTGGCAAACACGGTGAAACCCCATCTCTACTAAAAATACAAAAAAAATTAGCCGGGCGTGGTGGCGGGCGCCTGTAGTCCCAGCTTCTAGGGAGGCTGAGGCAGGAGAATGGCGTGAACCCGGGAGGCAGCGGAGCTTGCAGTAAGCCAAGATCTCGCCACTGCACTCCAGCCTGGGCAACAGAGCGAGACTCCATCTCAAAAAAAATTAATAAAATAAAATTAAAAAATAAAGTAGGAATTGTTGGAGAATAGCGGGCCACTAGAATATTAGTTTAAAAAAGGAATTTTGGGGCCAGGCACGGTGGCTCCCGCCTGTAATCCCAGCACTTTGGAAGGTCAAGGCGGGCAGATCACCTGAGGTTGGGAGTTTGAGATCAGCCTGACCATCATGGAGAAACCCCGTCTTTATTAAAAATACAAAATTAGCCGGGCATAGTGGCACATCCCTGTAATCCCAGCTACTCAGGAGGCTGAGGCAGGAGAATAGCTTGAACCCAGGAGGCAGAGGCTGCAGTGAGCCCAGATCATACCATTGTACTCCAGCCTGGGCAATAAGAGTGACACTCTGTCTCAAAAAAACAAAAACCAAAACCAATTTTTTGTTTGAATTGAAGGGGGTCTTTCCTACTTGAAGTTGTTGCACGTGCTACCCTAAAAACTACATATCCCATCAGGCACTGACTATCCCAAGAATTGGGTAGATCTCTGCTGTGGTGTCTGTTTTTAATTGGTTTAAAAGAAAAAGTCATCCTCCGCGATGTCAGCAAGGAAGATGAGTTTTCTGAATGAGCAATTTGGAGTTAAAGAAGTCTCCTGGTGATGTCTTTATTTCTTCACATTCCACTATGGTTTTTTTGTTTTTGTTTTTGTTTTTGAGATGGAGTCTTGCTTTGTTGCCCAGGCTAGAGTGCAATGGCCCCATCTCGACTCTCTACAACCTCTGCCTCTTGGGTTCAAGTGATTCTCCTGCCTCAGCCTCCCGAGTCGCTGAGATTACAGGTGCCCAGCTAATTTTTTTGTATTTTTAGTAGAGATGGGGTTTCACCATTTGGGCCAGACTTGTCTTGAACTCCTGACCTCAGGTAGTCCACCTGCCTCGGCCTCCCAAAGAGCTGGGATTACAGGAGTGAGCCACCGCACCTGGCCTTTTTTAAAATTTTATTTAAGACAGAGTCTTGCTCTGTTGCCCAGGCGGGAGTGCAGTGGCATGATATGGGCTCACTGCAACCTCCACCTCCCAGGTTCAAGCAATTCTCCTGCCTCAGCCTCCTCAGTAGCTGGGATTACAGACACACACCACCAAGCCCAGCTAATTTTTGGATTTTAGTAGAGACAGGGTTTCACCATGTTAGGCTGGTGGCAAACTCCTGACCTCAGGTGATCCACCCTCCTCGGCCTCCCAAAGTGCTGGGATTACAGACATGCGCCACCTAGCCCAGTCTCGGTATTTTTATTTATTAACATTTCAGCTGGAAATGTTTTCTGACTGCTATATTCCTTTCTACAGTTCAGGAGTACTATCTTACAAGAAACAGTTAAAGAATCTTTAGTAAGGGTAAAATGGGCTGGGCTCCATGGCTCACGCCTGTAATCCCAGCACTTTGGGAGGCCGAGTCGGGCGGATCATGAGGTCGAGGGATCGAGACCATCCTGGCTAACACGGTGAAACCCTGTCTCTACTAAAAATATAAAAAATTACCTGGGCGTGGTGGTGGGCACCTATAGTCCCAGGTACTCAGGAGGCTGAGGCAGGAGAATGTCATGAACCTGGGAGACAGAGGTTGCAGTGAGCTGAGATCGCACCACTGCACTCCAGCCTGGGCGACAGAGCGAGACTCCGTCTCAAAAAAAAAAAAAGAGTAAAATGGGGTCTGGCCCTGTGGTGCATGAAAAGAGATGGGCAAAGTCAATGTTATTCCTGCCAGATATACCCCAACTGGCCAAGGAAGCATGGAGAGTCCCTGAGAACCATCAGGAGAGTCCGTGGCTTTTGGAGTGTGGGGTATCCAAGACTCTTAGGAGACAGAACTCTTTAGAGGCCTTAGGGGAGTCTGTTTCTCTCACCTTCAGATTTCCTAAAACATCTACCTGCGAGGGCCTCAAGGTGAATCAAATCACCTCTCATGCTACCTATGGAGAGCTTTCAATGTCCCATGGAAAAATAAACAGAATCCCAGTAGGGTAAGCACCAACATTGTTCTCACACTTTCTAGGGGAAAAAAACAAGGATCCAGAGGTAAGGGGTGAAACTGCGGATCTAACATGAGATAGGGAGGTCAGGGAACTGGGAAGAAACAGCAGATTTCGGGTATCATGAATAAGAGAACCAGATTAAGGAGAAGGACATGG